ATATATATATATATATAATTACTTAAAGAGCAGATCAATTAATACGTGAATTGGATGCGAGACGCGAATGACCATTCCGTACTTCGCGTGAATAAAATACCACGATGGATTTTCAAAATTACATTTATTTAAACAAATCAACATTGACCTCATATTTACGGATTGTATACTGTATTTGTTGCACAGAGGATGCACCTTTCTATACGCGAGATCTACGCATCTCGCGACGCGTCGTATCGTTTGACAAATCATTACGGTCGGGGACAAGGGGGAGGGAAGGAGAGGGGAGAAGGGCCAGGGAATTGGGCTGAGTACTGATAGAATAATTATAACGAGATTAGAAGAGCTAGAATCGGACTAGAAACAAGTCTCACGTTATCACAATGTAATATCGCGTTAGAGAGTATTACTTATAATAATCGTAATAAATATAATAATAATAATAATAATAATAATAATAATAATAATAATAATGTCGTTCGTATGAAGAGGAATGATACTAATAGGCGCAAACGTAACAATATAGTTCGGGAACTCAGACAACATATCGATCACACCCGAAATACAGTACACACGCTACGAATACCGTTAATAATTCCCAGGTTCCGCTTATCCGTCATATATAGGTTTTTTTTTCTTGTGTCTTTTTTACCGCTAAATACGTACTGCTCACGGCCGCTTGATCTCTCGATTATACGATACATAGGATGAGACTGCTAATTATTCAACATGAAGATCTCTAAACTTATTCTCACATGCGCGCCGCGGAACGAATTCACCCTGGGAGGGATTAAGATGACTGTCAATTGTCAATTGCGTACTTAATCGCGAAACTCCGTATATGTAAGCTCAAGGAAAATACAAACGAGCGTAAAGTACCGTGTGGTGAACCATTTGTTCGTTTTAATTTAACTCGCGACGAGCTTCGACAATTACGAGTTCTCGTCTCGCCAATTCCATTCGTATATAATTCTATCGTAACGAACCTTCGAAGGATCGCGAGAAATTCCTTTGAAAATAGCTTTCAAAGCGGAAAAAAAAAAGCAATTTGCCAAATCTAATCCTTTATTATCCTCCTTTGCTACTTATGTTACTTGTCGAAATAGAAAGCAAAAGAAGAGGCATTTGCGAAATCTTTCCTTTCGTCACATTTTTTTTTATTTATACACGGATTTACGCAACTAAGCGTACGTATTCGAATATGCGTGCGCTTGTATACATTGTCATTTTCTCTCTCTTTCTCTCTCTCATTTCCTCTCTCTCTCTCTCTCTCTCTCTCTCTCTCTCTCTCTCGCTCACATTCTTCATACGTATAAGTATGTACGTCTCCTCGTGGACATAAATTCGTGTGTATTTTCATTAACTATATACTTTGGCTTGTCCTCACACCTCACTGCACCTCCGCCTTCTGTTTTAACGCTAATGGCAGCACGGATACAAGTTTGTTTTTATACTGTAATAGCGTCCTCTCAGTGCAGACAACGTATCTTCATTCTGCTTCATTATTCGAACGAACGCGAGTCCGTGCCGTACATATTACATACACATACATATATATAAGTACGAATATATATATGTATATGTATACATATATATATGCATACACGGTCCATCCGCTGACAACCGTGCGCGTGAATGGCGGTATAAGCGTCCCTTCGGTTGATAGCGAGTACGCGACGTAGTCTCGTTTCTTTTTTTTTTTTCTCTTTATGCTATGTATAATATCGTACAGTACGTAATAACGCCGTAATAAACTGCTATGTGTACGCACTACGAGAGGGGAGAAAACTATATATATATTTATATATATTTATATTTTATATATATATATATTTTTTTTATATGTATACGTGTGTAATTCGTGGAGAAACGAATCGCTATGTAGCGTATAATGCGTGTACGTATGTACGTGTACAATACAAGCGGCGACCACGCGGCGCGATCGCGACGTTCCGGCCTCCTTCGACGACGTTAAGGGTGAAATCACACGGCGCGGAAAAGGACCGTGGAATAGAGAATGCGTCATTGAAACTACCAATTAGAGCTATTCGGAATAACGCCGATCGGTTGCTTCTATGACGCATTTTCTATTCCGCACCGTGTGATTTCACCCTAACACTTGACCTCTCGCGCTCCGCGAATTCGGAGATGCGACGACCGTTGAGCGCGACAACGGGTTTCTGATCGATTTTTTTTTTTCGCGAATTGTCGTCGACGGAAGCGCGGTCGGAAATGAAAACGTGTCCTGTCCGCCGTGGGAATCAGGGAATCCCCGCGAGGATTCGCGGATTGACCTGCGCGTTCGTTCGAATGCATCGCGCTTCCTTTTCCTCCCTGGACGCGATTCCGCGCGTTTTCCCCGTTTTGAGGTGAGTCACTAGAAAATGTACGAGTAATCGCCTCGGATTATCATCGTTACAATTTGAAAGAATTTTTGTTTTTAATTCTTTTAAATGGAAATTTAATATTGGAAATAGTGATTAATTACTTATATTGAGAACTAAAAGCACTGAGGCACAAAATAAGTCATTTCCAGTATTAAATTGACCAGACACTAAATTGGATTTCTTATAAGAGTTAATTATGGAGTAACTGTTAACAGTGATTCGGTTTTCATCTTATGGACTTGCAATAGCGAATCCTAAACTTTAAGTCTTAATCCGTAAGAAACTAACCAATCACAGTCGAATGTGAGAAGAATAATTTCAATACTTCTTACGGCTTAAGACTTAAAGCTTAAATAAGAGCTTATTATAGAAAGCCCATTAAACATCCTTTTATTTCAAAACGTTTCACCTTTGGAAGAAAACGCACGGAATACATCCAGTCCGCTGACAGTTACGCTCGATCTCGTGACGCTTAGAAGGCGAGATGCGAACGGAGTGCAAGAGTAAACGAACGTAACGACCCCTGCTCGCCGCGGATACTTTGCTACTCGAATTAACTTCTATCGTATCGCTAAGTCGTAATATCACTAATCGCTCATCGATCGCGTTCCCGAGAACAATTACGAATGATCGAGACCAGAAGGGAAAGAAAGGGAAGCGTGCGTCGAGAGG